TACCTACATTTTTGACATGATGGTTAACATAGTTCCATAGCACCGAACCTCTATATGCTAAAGAGTCCTTTAACAATCTAGTGTTGAATCTAGGTGTGGTTATTGCTTCTTGGTCTCTTAGTGAATAGCTACATTCCCGTCTTATGAATATGCTATTAATTAGAGACTGAGGTAGTGAGACTTTACTTGCTCTATAAAAGAGGTTAACTATTTGAAATTTGTATTCTAAATTGGTCGTATCCTATCCTGAAACGTCGAGAGCTACATTAGATTCCGTATCTTTGGATAAGTTGTAGACAATTTTTGCTGCTCTACAGTGAAGTTTCTCGATTGAGTAGAGAAGATCCGAATTTGTACACGAACCCCATAATATAATACCATACTTCACAGAAGGTAACATTACACTAAAATAAAACTTTCAAAGGACATTTTTGGGCAAGAACCTTATGCTTCAATAAGTCTATTTTGTTCGCAAAGTTTTTCTTTAGTTCCAGCATATGCGGTATACACGTAAGCTTGTCATCTACTGTGTGATGGATGTCCTCCCCTGGGTGGGATGGGTGGATTTACAGAGGGCCATGTGTTAGAAAACTCTTTACTGGGTTAATCATGTATTTACCCTCTTGAAATAAAGAACATTGTATTGTATTGTATTGTATTGTATTGTATTGTATTGTATTGTAACATTGCTGTTCTCTTGCTTTCAATTTAGTATCGCATGGCCAATTTCTTATTCCTCGTTTATCTACTCCATGCAATGTGCTCCACTCATTCCTATTATCACAATATAGCAAGGAAATGCATATAAAATGAAGCAACTACCTTTTCTCTCACCCTTCTCCTCTCTACCTCTACAACTTCCGCTGGAGAAAGGAAAGCGATAATGGTAACTACTTGGCGCGATAATAATAGTCTCCCGCAAGGTGGCCAGGTTCCAATACTGAAGGTAAATTTCCATTTTTCTCTTGCAAAGAAGGGTAACATAAGTAAATTCAGTTTCTCTCTTGTCGCTAAGTATGAGTAAAATGAAAAAGACAATGTACGGTAAATTGGAAAAACAACAGTAAAAACGATCAAAACGATGAAATACAAATGTAATGAAAGTCACGTGTTTCCGGTATGAACTCTGTTATAACGCGGGCTCACTTTCACTTGGGTTTGAATTCCAAACAGTCTTTTTATTTGCAGTGATATTGTGGATGTTTCATTGACTTTGTGAGCTTTGCTTTGGTCCTATATTGATTTAAGTTGAATGAAAATTATTGTCTGTATTGTTGGGTTAGTTTATGTACATTTTTTTTTAATTCCGAACTAAGTGCAATGCAACACAGGAGGACGGAAGAGCCTTTGTCGTCTTGGTAGCCAAGAAGCCATAACAAAGCGCCGACCTATCGCTAGTTGATGGTAAGCAATGTTTCTTGGACACTAACCAACTTTCTTCTACTGATTCTACAAACCCCCACATAATGCAAATAATAGGTATTTTTCATTTTTTCACCCTTGTTTCTTCTCTAGTTTGGAAGCCTCATAAGCTAAGATTTCTCAATGTACTATAGCCTTTGTTTTGTGTTTCGGTCTTGTGTTTTTGTACATTTCTAAAACATGACTTTAGATCGATGTCTTTATCTAATGATATTTTCGGCAGCCTTTTGTTGTTGGGTCTAGTGAATGTTACAAGATGACGTACCCGTCTCATGGTCCGTCCTTTCACGTTTCTTCCATGGTTTTTACTTTTACCGAAGCCATAAAATTAACTTGACCAAGTTACGTACGTCGGAGATGTCAACTGCTCTTTTAATTTTGTCAGCATTTGTTTTCCTGTAGTATATAAATATTACATCACAAATTCTTTCATTCCCCAATTTTTCGTGGTGCTAAAAGCCTAGTCTGAAATGTTTTCCTCCACAAAAAAGCGGTGTAAAGGCCACACTTCAGCTGCACACTGCATTTCACCTCTGTGAAAGAATACTTCGTTAATGTTTATTATGAGCTCTCCTTAAGAAGTGGCCTTCATTATACTTTTAGCTATGCAGAAACTCCACTTGTAGATATCAACTCTGGGTAAAATAAAAATCAAACGCACCGAAAGAATAGTCTGCAAACCTTTTTTTCGGACTTCACTCCATACCTTTTACACCCTGAGCATATGTTCGTCCATGCTTTATGTACTGGACCTTACCTATCACCTCTCTCTGTGAGAGAAGTTAACTCTGAATCCTATTAATTACCACACTTTATCCTGAAGTATTGCAGATTCAACCAGTTTTTGAAAGTATTTTGCTCACTGTTTTGATGTTCTTCATGTTTTCATCTCTCCAGAAAGACCTCTCAAATACTTTTTGATAGATTTTACTTTTATTTTCCAAGGACACTAATTTACATACCATAGCTGCCAAACATTAAAAAGAGGGTGATTTAGTAAAAGATAGCATTTGGTGGTAATTTGAAATCGAAGACCTTAATTACCTCAGTCTGCAATGGAATTATCTTACTGCAAACCAAATTGCTACAAGGTGAGTCTCTTTTTCAGTGGTATATAATAACTCTTTACACCCTAACATCAGTCTGCATATTCTCCATACTGTTCTCTTCACATTTCATAGGGTGCTGGCAAGGAGGATGTGCTTAACAATCAAGAGCCTCCATTTTTGTTAACCATTTTCCAATATTCTCAGGACCTTAATGTTTGATTCAGGGGTGATACTTGAGGGACAAATTATAAGCTAGTCACTCTTAGGGATTAAAAGGATAATGCAAATCCTGCCTTCTTTTGTTAAAAGCATAAATCTTTGATTTCCCTTTTTTATATTTCACAAATGAACCTAAGTCTTTTTTATATGTTGTCAAATAGTTGAATAGTCAAGTATGCAATCATCGTTATTATTACATTGCTCACAGCGCCTGTGGGCAAGATGAAGCAAATCTTGTATTCTGTTTGGCTACCCGAGCGGGCAAGATGTACCCATCTTGCCCATTCGGGACTGCCCGCATTGATCTTACACATGAAAAAAATAGAATTAGAACTACATTCATAATTCTTGGACAATTTAGGCGATGGAAATGGAAAAAGTGACAAAGGATAGTTAAAACGAAGAAAACAGAAAGGATTCTTGTCACTTTGTTGTGCTACAAACACAGTTGGCTTTCTTTACTGGCTCTCAGAGTTAACAAGTCATTCTTAATTCTTAATAAAGGGAAATCTTTTTGCAACATAATAAATCCTTTATTAACCAAGCTTATGCAGTCAAGATGGCTGGATATCAGCCTCATTCTTTTTTTGCATTTTTATTTCCTCAACTTTGCCTTGGTCCATAAAAATGCCAAAAAAGAACTTGGCTAATATCCAGCCATCTTGACCTCACGCTTGGTTAATAGCGCATATATGTGTCTACTCAATCCTTATTCTAACTTATATTTCTGATTTGGATTCACCAAACACTTAAAGAACTATCATTTTTTTTGTTGTTTTTACTTTAATTAATTGGTTTTTTTTTTTTTGGTGTTTTTTTTTTGTACCAAAGAGCTGATTTATTTGCCTCCGTGTAATTTAGCCATTGTCCTTTTTTTCACAGACAAGAAGATTTACAAATCCCTGTATGGGCAGATAGTTGCAATTTTCTCTTCCCTGTGGCATTATGGGAGCAGGTGTTCTAGCTTTTCTTTAATTATTAGTATACTTATTTTGGAGGGTTATTTATCTTAAATTATTTCTTATTATTTTTGAGGTAGTAAGTCTAATTCTTTCTTGAAAAGTGGTTCTTGAAGTTTTGGGTTTAAGGGATGGCATTTTATAAGAAAACAATTCTTCATAGGTGGTGTTTTGTTGCAGATTCAAAGCAAACGGAATATAAAGATTTATACAAAAATAAGTATACAACAAATTATACATGCTGTAATGAACAATTGGATCTATTTTCATGTGGGATAAAATGGCAGTAGTTAAATCCTATTTCAAGGGATGTTAATGTCACCTGCTGTTTATGATTATTCTTGTTATATAGCAACCAATAAGAAGCCTCTTTTCACAAAGTAGTGGTTAGTGTCCTGTTTTTATACACTGGTTAAGTGGTTGGATATATTTAATACAACTATAGCTTTGTTGCCCTATGAATTCAATTTCAGTCAAAAAAAGTGTAACAACTTTGTAAAAAATAGAAATTACTCAACAGACAAAATTATCTTTGAAATGGGTTCGTTAAAGGTAGAGTGAAGTTGTTCTAGTAAATCTAAGTGGCTATATGTTAATGACTTGAATTAACTTTCTTCTAGTGAAAGTTATTCTTTATGAAGAACTTACAGTACTTTAAGCTTCTATATGAATTGAAGGGTTCCCATTGGCTTTGTATAATTTTACTGAATTGTTTTTTTTTTCTTCTGACAGCATGTACTTGTCAGCCATGTCAGGTTATTGTAACAGGGGAAGGCAAACTATCTCCTAACAACAGGTTAGTGGTGACTGCTGGCCACCGACTGAATAATAATAATAATATAGTTTATTTCGGACCACTTGTAGCCTAAGGCTGAATTACTGGTACAGTTTTAAAAATATACACACTGGAAACCTAAATAAATAAATACACACAATACTTTACACAGGTTGATACTTAACGGTAACAAAATTTTTAAAACGCTCAGTTCTGTGCGGTGAGAAGATTTGCCTGATCGCAGACACATTTGCGTTGTGCTGTGAAGTACCTGCTCATGAATTTGGAGGTATAAGGGATGGCCGAATTTTACGAATAAACTGCTCGCATGCATCTGTGCGAACATATTACAGTGATCAATGTTAGCAAACACTGTTTCTATATTCCTTGCTAAAATTATGTATGTTCAGCTTTTTTAAGGAATAAAGTTTCTTCATTTACTTCAAGTTAGTTTTCTACATTATAACATATGGGATTTTTTAAAAGACTAAATAAATTTTTTAATCAGGAAATGATCTTGAGACAGTCTATAATCAATTTTGTAGAAAATATCTTTATGGTTGCACAATTTTTAATCTTAATGACATTATTCAGTAAGCTTGCTGGTGTGCATGTGCTTTGTCCATTCATCAAATTTGAGACATGATTTATAATCTTTTTGTTTTTTTTTCTTATTCTACATGTCAAGAAATATTCATACCCATTAGCTTAAGTAAAATTTCCTAATTAAATATTTATTTTAAACCCTTAATTAATGAAGAATTTGCATACCTCTCCCTAATCAAGTGTAGCTAATAATAATCAAATGTACTTTGCTTAGAACTGCACTGCATAAATTGATATTAGAAATAATGTATCCTTTTTAACTGGATCAATAGTTGGTCAGAACATTATTGATTGTAAATATATAGGAATGGTAAGCCCTTCTTATTGACACAGTTTTAGCAGATCAGCTATTAAGGTGCAATTTATTGCCTGCAATGAAGTTGATTATTTTTCTCAGTCTCTCCACCCAGTATGTGCAATAAATCTGAATATTTTTTTGGTCTGTAAAACCTTAGGTTTGTTTACAATTCAGGTCTTCTGTTTTATCATTGTTCACAATAGACAAGAATATGAATCAAAATGTTTGTAGGATCCCAGAATCAATAAATAATGTACAAGAGAATCTAGAAGAAATAATATTTTATTTCACATGCTTTTGCTAAATATATAATTAGCTATGGTCAAAAAATGCATTCCACACTAAGATATTCAGGTTTAGTGGGTTAACAGGAAGAACGTTTCATTCAATCATTTCAATGACCTGGAAAAGTAATAAACTGAAAGGCTCTTTAGCTTGAGATATGTTCATTCTCATCTAATTAAATTCAGGGTATGACATAAAAGAAAAATTTAGTATGAAATTTTAATGATTCACAATGATCTGTGAATATCTGAATTTTTTATTGTCTAAGTGGGTGTGTTTGGAAAGATCTTTCTACTGCCTCGGAACTTTTTAAGGATTGAAGGTATGTAAACATGCTTGAAAAAGAAATACATTCAATGAATTGAGACTTGTTCATCCCCCTCATTTTGGGATAACTTTCATATTGGGTGATATTTTAACAGATTTCAAGATGGATTTCCTTGAATATCATGTCTTTCAGCAGTTTTAGTTTAGAAGTCACCGTGTCCAACAGGTACCTTCTAATACTTTGAGTTCTGATAACTTCTCTTCAATATTTTCTTAACAGCTATAGTTTGTTTTAGATTCCTTTAAAGTAACAATGGACATTTTCGTTCATTGCATCAATGATTGACAGGAGTTTTACTTTTTGGAGCATCTAGTGATCACTTAAAATGCTTAAGATTAGTTATAACCTTCCAGTGATTATTAAAATATTTCATTTTCTTTCAAGTTACAAGACATTAGTCGATCCTTTTAACTATTTAATCAAACTTACTTGAATTTATTTCAACCTGCAATTATACTCTTAATCTATTAAAGGATTCCTTGTGACTGTTATATCATACTTCACAATCTGCATTTTACAAGTCTTTGTAAGAGTTTTTCAGGTGGATTGTTTTAAAATTACATTTTATATTCAGGATGTCAATCATGAGTACCATCTTTTTTGTTCAAATGGTTCTCAGTTACAGGTAATTCATATTGATTATATACAGCCATTTGAAGATTAATAGTAGTTTAGATTTGAAATATATTTTAAATCCATGTGTTTTGATTGAGCCCACACATACTGTACATGCTTGTTTGATTACCACAGATATTGAATTGTATATGTTTTGAATTACAAACAGGTCCTGTGCTGTTGCTTTCTTATACATTGTGTGTAGGAGGAGAATTGATGGTGTGATTTCTTATAGGTTTTACAATTACAGCAAAATGTTTATATATTCACTGCTCTCTTTTCAACATTTAAATTTGACAATATTTAAATCTCAACTCAATTGAGTTTTGATTCATACTTTTTTTTTTTTGTGATGCACTACTGTAAATTAAACCGAGACAAAGGAATGCAAGTAGACAAACAATGACCTTGTGGTTTACACAGCATTTTATTAAGGGTGGCTTGATGTGTTTAATGTCATGCTAAACAACAACAATAGGTGAGCTTAATGTATTATTGTAATGCTAATTACTCTTTTTAATCGGTGGGCAACACTTATTCAATGAAAAAAAAAAATTGAAGAGTCAGAGCCAGTAGAACTGTGCTTAATTTATCTGTTGGATACCTGCTGTTGAAGTGACCCTTAGATGTAGGCTTTTTCCGGTTATCTTGTACATGGCTCACAGTGTACAGAAACAAGAGAACATCTACCTCTTTTTTTTTAAATCACATCTTTGTGACACAATGATTATATGTAGTCTCTCTTGACCTGGCAACATGAATTGGTTCAAAAAACAACTCAGGTAACTTGTTTGCATTATGATGTGTGGGGTTTGGTTTATGTTGGGAACATATTTCACAGAGAATGCTCCATGTATAACACTTTGGAACAAGGTGCTCCAAAAATACATTGTACATGAATTTTGTCAGTGAAGGATTTTGAGATGCTGACATTGATTTTAAACCAATATACATTATTATGCAAGGTAACTCTCAAAGTAGCTGCCAAACCCTCTGCTTTGTGACTGAAGAAGGATTATAACAGCAAGAAGATTGTTTAACTTCACAACTCTCTTGGCTCATTCTGTGCTCTATACATAACACTCAGCCAAATATTATTGAATGAATATTAATGTGTTTCTCTTGAAAACTGTCTTGCCTCTGTGAATTCAATGTAACTGAAAGTTTCAATAGAGTCCAAGAAGCCTCATTGATGAATTTGCAAGCAAGAACTGAAGGCTGTTGCCAAAGAAAACATCTACTATTACATAATAACATAATAATGACTTTGGAACAGCCAAACCTAAAAGCAGATCTGGGAATGCTATTTTTCACTTAACTGATCACAGAGGTCTAATGTACCTGTTTAACAGGTTATGCACTTGAATAGGTAATTGTCAAAATTCTTTATGTTGTGAGTTTTTCCTTTCTTAATGTTATTTCAAAAGTAGAGACTTTCAACTCTAAACAAAATGTTTCAGGATCCAAAGCATGGATATGATACTGAAAGTGAAGAAGGTAGCAGCATACTTCAAAATCTCTTAAACCTGACACAGTTTGAATCATTTGCAAAACTTACCTCTGTCAAGTTGCTGTATTCAAATTTTAGTTTGGATTAAATTTGTGTAGGGCCTAAATTTAGTCATTGAAAAAATAACAGCTCAGGGCTCAACACTAAACTTTTCAACTTACTAGACAAGTGGCTAATGACAACTTAGATGTTACAACAATTTCAGTTTGTTTATTAGCCAAACTGGCTGGTGGAAATTGTAAAACACCAGTCAAAACTGAAGTTCTACTAGTCTGTGGACAGTTGGCTACCATTAGTGTTGAGCCCCGACAGCTAGGAGATCTACCGTACAGATGTACAGAAATATTTGAGTACTGTGAAAATGTTTTTTGAATTGTCTGGAATTCCTTTAGTAAATGATAACTAACCTTGCTAGCTAGTTAAAAGTAAATTATGTTCTATAAACAGGAAGTAAATTAAGTATGATTTACTTAATTCCAGGTCTGTAACTCAGTCAGCAGGAGGAACAAGCAATGGCACAAGGAATGCTGGATCAACTTTTAACAGAAACAACAAAGTATTTGCCTCCAAGGGTAGTGCAGATGATGGCAGAGAACACAGTAAGGAAAAGGTTTTGGTAAAGAAAGATTCAAGTGTACTTAATGCAACTCCCAAAACACAGGTCAGTGCTGTAGAGGAAAGCAGGTCAAATGTAGGAGAATCCCAACCAACTATAGGTGGAAGACTAGAGGCAAGTTTTGCATCTTTAAGGCGGAGTTCAGCAACTCCAGATTTGCTGAACAGCAGCAGTGTATTTGATCCATCAGAAATACCACACATTTCATCTAAACCAAGCAGCGCAGGCTCAGTATCATCCTCTCCTCGTCTCAAGAGACCTCCTACTAAAGAATCCCGCAGTGTCTCCATCTGTGAAACAGAGGTATGTCATCCTTGTAGAACATATAATCTTCAAATGTATATGGCGGTGGTTGGTGTCATCAGTATTACTTTGATAATGCTACCATTTTCTTTTAGATATTAAATAAGCTGGACTGTTTAGTGGGTTATAAATGTCCTATCTTAAAGTATGTTTGATGTTAATTTGTTTCCAATCTTTCATCAGAACTTTCTTCAGCTCAATCAGTATCGACTTATGGATGAAATTGGAAAGGTGAATAAAAGTATCATTCAATCAGTCACTACATGTTGGATTTTTCATGGCAAAAATTGTTCTTATTGGTGAAATTGTGAATCAGAGAATTTTTATTGCAAAAGATTCATTATATGTACCTCTTTAAATGTAAAGTTGAGCTTGGGATTGTTTTAAAAATATTGATTGTCAAACTTCACCTGTCTTTGAAGGTGATGATTATTGTGCACATTTAATTTCTGAAATTTCATTAATTTTTAGCAATTTATCATAAATTTATAGACCATGTCCAAAATAGGATTGTTTTTTTCTTTTTTTTTCGCTTAGTATGGATGATTAAGGTACTATTAAAATTCAGCTGATTTTACGAGACTTGTTTAAATTTAGGAGTTAAATTCGTGTCATTGTCTTTAATCATACATGAATAAGTTCAAAACATCCTCATACCAGTTATTGTTTATGTCACAAATTTTCCCTTCTCTATTTCAAGGGCTCGTATGGAGTTGTTAGACTCTGCTACTCTGACTTTGATCAGACAAACTATGTAAGTATGACAGAATGAGTAATGATCACATTCACACTAGCTTTCCTCACCCCTACATTTATTGCGAGCCAAAGAAAGGGCTTTTGCTAGTTATGAAATTGACAGAGTCTAGCTGTTATCTGTATACCCTGTATTGTTCTTATGGTCTGTAGAATACAGAATCAAACAAACAAGTTTAAATCTAAAATTTTGTTGACAGGCAATGAAAATCATTTCAAAGAAGAGAGTGATGAGAAAGGCTGGCTTAAGTAAGTTTAGGATGACTTGATGACTTTTTATAAAATAATGTTAAAGTCACATTCCAAAGTCCTGAACCTCCAAACAACTCACATGAAAGTTAGTTAAGAAGTCACTATCAACTTACTCAGAAATGAGTTAATTCTTGGTTTACATGTGACATCAAAATTAAAAAAATAAGGAATTATCAATCCTTTTTAGATTTAAGTTTAGTTAGTTATTAGAACAGCTGAGGATTTATCTTTTTACAATTTTGAGTTTTAATAGGTTTTTTGTTTTGTGTTAAAGCAAGATTCAATTTCCATGCTTTTGCGTGACACAGTATTAAAATGGTGGCTAAGAGTGCTGTCGTGTAGGTTAAAAAAAGTGACTTATCCACTGAGATTTCACAATCTCAACAGTCCTTGTGTGAGAACAAGTATTCATAGACATGTTTATGAGCCTTCAGAACACAGGTACAGACTTTGACTTTTCATAGCAAAGCTGGATGACATGTTTTTGTTAGCATCTGGCTGCCATATTTTTGTCCCTTGAGGGGCACAAACACAGCATCTCCATACAAAGCCTTTAGTTGTAAATTTGAGTAAAACATTACATCAAATATCTCCCACATGAAACATTGCACAGACCTGAATCTTTGAGAGACTTTTGAATATTCATCTTCTTTTATCTCTTTGATTCTTGATTTTATTTGTTGAATGGTTTTGATGATGGTATGACAGTGAAAACCGGTAATACCTTTCCCCCCCATTGTTTTGGCAACCTGTTTTGTTCCAGAAATTTCCGTAATTTGTTCAACCAAAATTTAACCCTGGGTTTATATTGCACTTTGCATAGCTGGGGCAAATTGTCTTGATGCAAATTAAGGTATCACCCATTTAGAGCTATACTCTTCTTGTTAATGTTAACATTGTATTCCTATTTGTCAGTTAAAAAGGTGTTTTTTACCTTTTTTCTTTTATTTTTAATAGTACCATTGGTATTTTTGATGAAAAAGTTGTGCTGATAACATATTTACTACCTCTTGTTTTTGCGGTTTTCCCTCTCCCAGGACGTCCGAGTGAGAAAGGAAAAAACACAGGATTGGAAAACTTGCAGAGAGAAATTGCAATTCTCAAAAAAGTTGATCATCCCAATGTTGTGAGCCTCAATGAGGTGTAGTAATTTCATGCTTTAGATCTTTTTTCTACTATTGAACCTCAACAGTTGTAGGTAACCAAATGAAATAGATATCTTTCAAACGAGAAATTCCTCAATCTACTCCCCACCTGAAACTAAGAGTTGATTGGATAAGTGCCACTTTACAATAATTATTTTACAAAAATGTACAGTCTCGTTCAACTAAATTAACATCAGCATTTACTTAATCATGGTTTTACCTGCGTTAGGTTTTAGATGATCCTTCTGAGGATAATCTCTACTTGGGTAGGTACCGTAATTTTGAATGTTTTGGTTTTCCTTTCTTTCCAAAAAATATTCTGGATATGGTATGTTTTCAGCTTAATTTGTGCCTAATATTCTTTCTTTTTGTTTGTCAGTGTTTGAGCTCATGAATGGAGGGTAAGTAATGGTTACACCTCCAATATTATCTCTTTTCCTGAAAGTCTGTTTTCTTGCAGGGTGGTGTAGTGATGTTTAAGCTATGCAGCATACAGTAACATAATTTATTCAAATAACCAAAATCCCAGACTGTAATACATCCATGTTGACATTCAGTTTTTTCTTTTCTCATCTTTGAGCCTGAAAATATCTCTTTAAGTGATGTTATGATCACGTCTGTGAGGCAAACTGCATGGTAAATATTTGTGAAACACTAACAGTGCTTTCATCTTTTGCTCTTACTTTGCAATCACCATGCATTCCTAGTGGTAACTGGGTTTTTCCCTTGGTATTTGTATTAGTTAACATGGAAGTCGTACTTTGTTGTACATTTTTTCTGGGTTAAAGAAGTTCTGATCGGCTGAACTATTAAAAAAAATCTGCGACTTAACAAGTCAACTCATATTCTTCATTTTTTTGCTCTCATTTTTTATCAAAATAGAGAAGTGATGGAGGTCCCTGGGCCAGCCTTGTCGGAACAAGAAGCTAAGAAATATTTCATTGATGTTGTGTTAGGAATTGAATACTGTAAGTTCTATTCAGTAGTACTAATTCCTGAAATGTCTTTTCATTTATGATCATTAAAGGAGTTCTCACAAAATCAATTTCAAAAGTGATTTACCTTTTGTTTGTTCAAAGTACATTGTCAAAAGATCGTCCATCGAGATATAAAACCATCAAATCTACTGTTGGGAGAAGATGGCCGTATCAAGGTAAGTCATAGAGATACCTACTATCTAAATTTTTATAGCATTTGGTCAAACTTAATTCACGCTTAAAATGTTTAGAAAATTTATTTATGATTGTGATTGGTTTTTCTGTGCTCTGCTTTTGAAGTCACGACAAGCTCACTCAAGTGGCTAAATTACAGGCTCTTTACTCATTGCGTGTGCTCTTATCTGCCTCCAAATTATTCCTGTACCAGAACCAACTTTTGGGTAAAATTAGGCTAAAGATATATCGCCTATTAGGATCAGTGGATTGGGTCAAATTTAATGCTTTGCATATAATACACAAGTAGAAAGAGTGCACAACGAGTACATTCGTCTCAAGTTTTTGTTTTGATTTGTTTGTTTGTATTTGAAAAGGGGGTAGTATTTTTAATCTGTTTTGGCTGTAAGCCCATATTCACTGAAGTTCTAACAGCAAGCTTACATTTTATCCCAGATTGCAGATTTTGGAGTGGCTGATGTCTTTGAAGGCGATGATGCGCTGTTGAATAAAACAGCGGGCTCTCCAGCTTTTATGGCTCCAGAAACGTTACAAAGTAAGCTCAAACTTTGTTTTTATTAAATCTTACTATTAGAGCGTTCTTCATTTTGATTTGTTTTTGGTAAGCGCGAAATTTTACATTCAGAAACTTTTTCGCTCCCAAGCTCGGCCCAAGGGACAAAAAAAGTGTCTAATCACAGCGAGCTAACTAGAAGTTGGTTGAATTGTTCTTGTGTGCAGAATGCCTGATGTCATTTACCATTGTTGAATTAGGGATTCATAGGTTGTTGTATTGGGGTACTTTTCTTAACTATTTATCCACACAGGGGTGTAGGATTTTGTTTTTCAACTTCGCTGAGTAAAACTGTGGAACAGGTGAACTTGAAATCATTTTGATTACTACACTGTACATGCTTTTGTTCTTCAATTTCTTGCCAGTTTCATCATCATGCTCCTCATCAACATTGAGCTGAGCCAGCAAAAAATAGACATCAAACAACAAAATTCTTTTTTGAAACTTTTTTTGATATATCTGAGTACACACAGTGGTCATAACTGGCATGTTAACTGTATCTGTCTTACATTTTGAAGCAGTTATCTGAAAAAATAACTTTAAGTAATTCAAGGGTTTGGTTGGCAACTTTTGTTTAGGCACACGGGACAAATACAGTGGAAAAGCAGCCGACATATGGGCACTGGGAATCACTCTTTACTGCTTTGTCTTTGGCAAGGTAAATGAATAGCTTGAAATGTTTTCTCTCAACTCACGATGAGTTTCATCAGAGAGTATTAATGTTCAACCAAATGAAATTGAACTCAGTTTCTTGGAATCCCGGCCGCAGGTCGTACTTAAAGGTTTCATTGACAAGTGATTTAGAGTGTACAAACACGTCACTCCGTCATGTCGTGGTCGTGTTTGTATTAATTAATAAAAAGAACTTGGAGAGTAAAACTGACAGTTGCATTTCAATTCTTTGTGGATTGCTTTTGGACTCGTGCTTCTTGTTATGATCTGGCGATGTTTCTTCAAATCCTGGTTCTTGGACTCATTTGGATTCAACCCTAACTTGCTTTATGCAAAATGTAAGAAGCCTTAAAGCCATTACCCGATCCTCTGGTTCGTCTTTTGAATGCAAGAGAAACATGCTTCAAGACTTCGCCTTCAGCTACGACCGCTTGACCTTATCTTCTTAACAGAAACATGGCTCAATGATTCTGTTACTTCCTATGAAATTCTACCGTCTGGTTATGATATCTATCGCAAAGACCGGTTAAATTAAGTTGATGACGGAGTTCTGACTGCAGTTAAATCGAGCTACATCTCAAGCGGGCAAGTAATTCATGGCAGTCTCCATATAGACTCCCTGTTACCCAGTCACCCTGTGTACCCATGTGTACCCTGTGTATCCTGTGTACCCATGTGTACCCTGTGTACCCTGTGTACCCTGTGTACCCTGTGTACCCTGTGTACCCTGTGTACCCTGTGTACCCTGTGTACCCTGTTTACCCGTGTGTACACTTTTTACCCATGTATATCATGGGTACACATGGGTACACAGGGTACACAGG